CCTACGATTGGCTCCTCTCTGAGGGGGCGTGGCTAGGCCCTGGGGGGTGTGGCTGGACGCTAGGGCGGACCCAGCCAGTTTAAAACCCCGCTGAGTGGCTGCGGCCGGCTCTGTAGTGGCTGTTAAGCACGGAGCATGGAGGAGTGCGCTTGCCTCTGCGGCGTGGGCTCTTCCCGGGAATGTCGGTGTTGTCAGGAGTCCCAGGGCCCAGCTGAGATGGCAGCGGCCGACGGCAAGCAGTGTCTTCAGGAGTTCCAGGGCCCAGCTGAGACCCCAGGGGCTGAGGGCAAGCCGGCCCCGGCAGAAAAGCACCTCGAGGTGGGCATGGCAGCGGGGTGCTGTGCGGGGAGTGGAGGAATCGCGAGCCCCATGCCGCCCCCGCACTGCTCGCTGCAGGGCCTGCCGGTGGAGTTGCTGGTGGAGATCTTCGCCTCGCTCCCCGGCACCGACCTGGCCAGCCTGGCCCAGGCCTGCACCAAATTCCACCACATCCTGCACACCGACAGCATCTGGAGACAGCGCTGCCGGGAGGAGTATGGCATGCGTGAAAACTTGCAGAACCTGGAGAAGATCGGTATGTCTTATCGAGAAGTCTATGCGAAGATGTTCTCATACAGAAACATTTTGGGTTTGTGGCAGCTAGATGATAGCTATGGAAGACTGCTGAATGTAGTGGTGGACGGCTTAGGCATTACTGGTTGGACGTGCCGGCCTTCCAAGAACACCCATGTGTACGGCCCAGTGCAATTCGAGCCTTGGTTTAGAATTCGCCTGACGGAGAGGAAGTCAGCCACGGTGGAGTACATGGACAACATCTATAGCTTTTACTACAGCCGCCACATGCAGATTCAGAAGGACAGGTTCAGCATCCAGTGGATCAAGAGAGACCAACAAAAGGATTCACCAACGCCGCTTAGGGGAGAACGGGTTCTGGTGCTGTTGGAGAAGGACAGACGGCCTTATGACTGCCTGACCTCACACCGCCGCGTGATGCTGTCGCAGGAGGACAGACAGCCATATCGCTGCCTGACCTACCGCCGCGTCTACCTCCCGCCGAGCCACCTGGACGACCTCATCAAGCCAGGCCTCTTCCACGGCAAATACGATGGCTTCGGCCTAACGATTGCCATGCTCAGCTTCCATGGGAAGTATGCCAGGGTCACGAAGATCACGGGAGACTCCATCGAGAGGTTAGAGATCCACCTCATGCGCCGCATCCAGCTGCGAAATGGCGAGATCTTCCGCAACTTCAACGAGCTCTCCCGCGTGGTCCAGGAGATTGACGAGCAGGTGATCCGGGAGCAGCAGCAGCAGCAGCAAGAAAAAGGAACTGAGGAAAGCCAGGGCCATGGCTGGCAGAGCGCTGCCCAGCCCAGCGTCGGGAAGTCCGGGGCTGCAGCTGCGGAGGAGCAGCCTGTTCCGTTTGTTCTGCCAGTGGGCGTGCGCTCAAGAGACCAGAACTACCCCCGAACCTGCAGGATGTGTTTCTATGGCGTTTACATGGGTACCTTAGATCCCTTCGCCTGCCCCGGGCGCTTCCCTGGAGTCTTCATCCTGTTCGATGAGAACCACTTGGGGTTCATCGACCTGGAGATGAAAAACTTCATCCTGTTCGGCAGAGTCCAGAACACCTTCCAGAATGTGGAGGCACCATCCCCGCAGGCCTTCCTGGAGATGCTCTCGAAAATCAAATAAATATCAAAATATAAGTCTTTGTTTTACTATGGTTGCAAAGATCAAAAAATTCTATATATGACACGGCACCAGGGTTAAGTTAGGGTTTTTCAAAATGCTGGCACGCCGAGCTCAAAAGATTCGCCATCACTGGTGTAGGGGGACCCAAAAAAGCTCAGATATATTTCTTCTCCCAGCAGGAACCTCTCTTCCCAGGTGTGTGGACCTGATATTGAGAGTTCTGTCCCAATTCCCCGCTTCCCAACCCATCCTACTCTGTATTGAGGAGGAGGAGGGGAACGGAAGGAAGAAGTAAAGCAATAAAAAGGGTCAAGGAGAAGAGCCCTTCAATGTACATAGATGCCAAAGACTTCTGTTGGGAAGTTCTCTGTCCCGCCATCCAGGAATGCACAAAGCTCAGTTGGAGTCTCAGTCAGAGGTGTCCCCCGAGGAAGATGAGCTGGAGCTGCTGGCATCTTCATCGCTACTGCTGGAGTCGGAGGAGCTGCTGCTTTCTGCCTTTCCCCCATGTTCTTTCTTTTCTTCAGATCCCCGTGAGGAATGAGAACAGTCCCCATTTGTCTCTGTGGCCCCTGCTGTTTAAAATAGCCCACAGCCTTAGTGCCAAAGCACTAGCTATGCCTTATGGAGATAATGTATCTGTTAGATAAGCTTCCTTAAGGAATGACCTCTATTGCTATTGGCGATGAATTCAATGTTAATAAACAATATATATTAACTGGGATGTCTTTAAATAGAAACACACATAGAGCAGGATGATGTACTGACTGATGGATGGGTAATCTGTGGCCGGGGGCTGGAGGGAGACTGGCTCTGCCTTTTGGCCAAGGATGGTGTTTTTGTGCTTGCTGGTGCGTGGAGTGTTTCTGCTATATTGTGGAACATGAGGGGAATTTGCTGTAGGCATGTAGTATCTGTCATTTTAGTCAGAAAGTAATTTGTTTTTAGAATGCAATGAAAAATCTATACTTACAGATAATAAAAGTAATAGATTATGCAATAGAAATAGGAAAAAAAGAATTCAAAGTAACGTATACATTGATTAAAATAAAATTGACTCCAAGAGGGATGAGTTTCCATTGCCACCTGGCAGCAGCATGGCAGAAAAAGGTGGAGTGAAGAAATGCTAGTTGGCACTGTACCCGCCTGTCCCTGGTGTGGAGCTGAAATGACGCCTTCACCCAGTGGCAACAAGGCCATGGAGCTGGTTCTCCATTTTCCCTGGGGTGGTAGCAACAGAGCCCCAAAGCGAGCTGAGCATACACTCCACCTGGGCCTGCACGCTACACCCAAATAGTGTGAATGCTTGTTAAAAAGAACAAAGACCCACAGTCTCACACCAGAATACCCAAACTGTCCGGGAAACAATAGAAAATTACATATCATCCCAAGAACCACGGCAATCACAAGTTGAATGAGCAAAGACAATCATGCCAACAAGATTACTCAGATGTTGGAATTATCTGATAAGGATGTTAAAAGCAGCCATTGTACAAAATGCTTCAATGGGCCATTATGAACACTAATGCCTATTAGTAAAGCTAAAATGTAAAAGATTGACATTCCCAAGTGTGGGTGAGAATATATAGGAACTAGAAGTCCTATCCAGTGATGGTGGGAATATAAAATGATACAGTTAGTTTGGAGAACGGTTTGGCAGTTTCTTAACAAGTTAGTCATATGTATTCACCTGCCATCTGATCTAGCCATCTCACATTAAGGCAGCGGTTCTCAACCTTTGGGGGTCAAACGACCCTTTCACAGGGGTCGCCTAAGACCATCGGAAAACACATATGTAATTACATATTGTTTTTGTGATTAATCACTATGCTTTAATTATGTTCAATTTGTAACAATGAAATTGGGGGTCACCACAACATGAGGAACTGTATTAAAGGGTCGCGGCATTAGGAAGGTTGAGAACCACTGCCTTAAGGTATTATTTACTCAAGAGAAATGAAAGCATATCCCCATATAAAGACTTGTGCACAGCCTTTGCTGGTTTGGCTCAGTGGAAAGAGCGACGACGGCCTGCAGACTGAAGGGTCCGGGGTTCGATTCCAGTCAAGGGCACATGCCCGGGTTGCGGGCTTGATCCCCTGTAGGGGGCGTGCAGGATGCATCCAATCGATGAGTCTCTCTCATCATTGGCATTTCTATCTCTCTCCCTCTCCCTCTCTGAAATAATAATAATAAAAAAGACTTGTGCTCAAATATTCATAGCCACTTTTACTTGTAATAGCTAAAAATTGGAAACAACCCAAAAGTCCATTAACAGATGAATGGATAAACAAATAATGGTATATGCATATAATGGAATACTTCATAGCACTAAATAAGGAACAAACTATTGCCACACTCAGAAATGTGGATCAATCTCAAAATTAATTATGTTGCATGAAAGGAGCCACACACAAAAAAGGGTACACATTGTATGGCTCTACTTAAATAAAGTTCTAGCAAATGCAAATTAAGCTGAAAAGTCAGACAGCAGATGTGTGGTTGCCTGGGGAAGAGGAAGGGTAGAAGGCAAGGATTAGCAAGGGCCACCAGAAAAGTTTTCTGCCACGTGGATATGTTAATTATCTTTTTTGTGGAGGTTGTTTTCCAGGTGTACATATATGTTATAACTTACTAAATTGTACACTTTAAATATATTCTATTTGTGACTTGTCAATTACACCTCAATGTTTAAATAAAGAGCCTCAAATTAGTTCTAGTGACTGAGGATGACAATATGGCAAATTTCTAAACTTTTAAAAAATGTCTAAACTTCTAGGAAGACAAGAACGCATCTGAACTACCTGAGATCAGAGATAATATGCTTAGGTGGACTGTCCTCAAAAAACATGGCAAGCAGGAGCCACAACTAGTCTGTTGCTAACTTTACAATTGAGCTCACAGACAATATGACCACTGAATAGTGGGCCCAGTCCAGCTGTCATTCAGGCTAGCTTTTCGGTTCTACCTTCCCACTCCTCAGATATCTTCGAGACTTGTAGTAACTTCGTATTAGGTACTGGCTGCTTGGATATAATTTTATTTAAAATAACTGATAGAGATGCTGTGTTTGTTTTTCTTTTCTAAATGGGAGGTTATTCACACATCCTGTGACAATTTTCTGTTCTCCATTCATCTTGACTATTTAGAGAAATGGTGCACATGGAAGATTTGGGATTGTGTTCATTTAACTCGGGAGAGGCTGAGGAAACAACATACATTCCACAGAAGTCACTTGGGTTTTAGGTAATAGGAGAACCACAGCTTTACCAGGGGTCCTACCCTGTCCCCACAGGGCCACTCACAGGGCACGGTGTCACGCAGATACTCCCACCACTGCCGAAGCGTGGAGTCCCCCATCATGTGGACGACGTGACCAGCCAGGCAGCCCAGGATGCTGTTAGCAGTGGGAAAGGAGCGGCTGGAGCAGGACAGCGAGTGCCACACATGCCCGTGGTAGAAGCCAGAGGGCTTTGCGGTAGGGAGCCCAGGCCTGCACGGGGGTCGAGAGGGTAGGGCTATAGAAAAGGAAAAACCAGAACACAACTAACATTTATTATTATAAAATTCTGGGCTCTCTTCTATGTGCTTTACGTACATCATTTCATTTACTTTTTTGCAAAAGTCCACGAAGTACTATTCACGAAGGCCCTGAATTGTTAAGCAATTTACCCACGGTCAAGAATAGTGACTGGCAGAGATGGACTTTTACCCAAGAAGTCTGACTTTACAGCACAGATTACTAACCATTATGCATACTGCCCTGGCAGGAGGACTGGGGCTCAACTCCCAGTCAAGGACTAAAACCCCCTACGTCTATTCCCCACCCCACACCTGCCCGGCCCCCAGCAAATGCCAGCCCCACTCACCCAGGCTGCTGTTTCCTGGGGCTGCCCTTCTGACTTGGATTGGAGAAATGCCCCGAGGGAGCACCTTGTCTGTCACTTTCCTGGAGAAACACCAAGAGTGAGCATTGAGGGGGCTGAGCAGGTGAAAACTGGAATCCAGTATAGGGATATGATGGCTGACTTATCATTTCTACTCTGCCTAAGTCCTAAAAGAGTTTGAGGTAGCTACAATACAATGAGCACTTTTATAATGAAGCCATTACAATCAAGAATCAGAAAAAAGTGATGGAAGAAAGAGAAAATCTTATCAGGAACCTGGACTTTCTGCAATCAACCTACCCCTGAGCTCTCAGTTTACTAACAGGCCAGGCAATAAAAGAGCATCCAAGCTGGATCGTGTAGTTCTTCTCTGATAAAGAAGGGTACACAAGCCAGGAGAAAGAAACTCTCTCTTCCTAGCACTACATTCTGGAAGGAACATGAGCAGAATAATTTCTGTTACAAAAAACTCAGACAGTGGAGATCATAATCCCTCACTACTTAAGTGTGGGCTGTACCTAGCGTTGCCCAGAGGGCCCAGTGTGGAAGGAGGGGGTGTGGGAGAGTAGTTTTGTGGTGGAGAAACACTGCCCAGCCAGGTTAAAATCAACACTCATAAATCACGTTGGTAGCATATAATGTGATGAAAATGTAACTTGATCTCCGTGACCTTCTTCCTCAAAACCATAACCCACCTCTAATCATAGGAAAAACATCAGACAAATTTCAATAGAGAGGAATACTACAATATAATTAACCGATACTCCTCAAAACTGTCAAAGTCATCAAAAATAAGGAAAGTATAAGGATCTGTCACAACCAAGAACTTTGACGACTAGATGTAATGCAGGATTCTGGATGGGATTCTGGAACAGAAAAAGGACATTAGATTAAAATAGCAATGTTTTCCCTGGCCGGTCTGGCTCAGTGGATAGAGCGTTGGCCTGTGGACCCAAGGGTCCCAGGTTCGATTCCAGTCAAGGGCACATGCCTGGGTCGCAGGCTCGATCCCCACTAGGGGATGTGCAGGAGGTGGCTGATCCATGATTCTCTTTCATTGATGATGTTTCTATCTCTCTCCCTCCCTCCCTCTCCCTTCCTCTCTGAAATCAATAAAAAGATATTTAAAAAATAAAATAAAATAGCAATGTTTAACCTTCTTTCATCTCATGACAGACACAAATTAATTACTACAATTCTGTGACATACACAAATTAATTACTACAATTCTGTGACACACCAAAAAATGCTATTTTAATTTTGATTCATTCACGCCGGACAGCTATTATGTTGGCTGTTATTTTTTGTTTGTTTGTTTGACAGTCTAAGGGAAAAAAGGTCAGTGCCCCTGACTAGTTAGGTATTGTATGTTTTAAAAATTATTGCAGCTCACCATTGAAAAATCACTGGGTTAAAACTAAAGAAACCTAAATAGACTATGGACTTAATATTAATGTATCGATATTGGTTCATGAATTGCAACAAACATACCACACTAATATAAAATGTTAATAATAGGAGAAATTATGGGGGAAAGCAGATAGGGGAATCTCTGTAGTATCTGCTCTATTTCTTTGTAAATCTAAAACAGTTATAATTCATAAAGTCTAGTAGTAAAAAAATTCCACAGAGAAACAAAAATATTTGTCTACAAAAGTCTTATGCCCCAATATTAACAGCAGTTTGATTCATAATTGCTAAAAGTGGAAACAACCCAAATATTCAAGAGGTGAATGGATAAACTGTAGCATATCTGTACAATGGAACACCGTTCATCAATAAAAGAGAGAAAATTACTGATATTCAACAACATGGATGAATCTCAAAAGCATGTTACTGAGTGAAAGAAGCCATATACAAGAGTACAAACTGTATGATTACATTTTTATGCAATTCTAGAAAAGGCAAAACTAATACCCACTTTCAGAAAGCAAATCAGTGCTTGCCTGGGGCTGGAGGTGGATGAGGAAAATTGACTGTAAAGGGACACAGGGAATCTTTAGAGGTGCTGGAAATGTTCTATTTCTTGATTGTGGTGACAGTTAATGGGTATACACATTTATTAAAACTCAGTGGATAGTGTAGGATGCAGGCTCCTCCCTGGCCCGGGGCCCTGGTTGGGACTTATGCAGGAGGTAATCAATCGATGTGTTTCTCTCACATCAATATTTATCTCTGTCTTTCCCCCTCTCTTCCACTCTCTTTAAAAATCTATGGAAAAATATCCTTGGTTGAGGATTAAAAACAGAACAAAACAAAAAATCTCATTGACCTGCACATTTCAAACAAGACTATTTCATTGTATATAAATTATACTGTAATAAAGCAGATTAAAGATTTTAAAAAATTTCATCAAAACACAAACTCAGACAATCCTATATAATAAAGAGCTAATATGCAAATGGTCATCACACCCTCGCACCCTTGTGCCGGAACTGCTCAGACACTCAACACTGGAGAGAGAGGAATGGGGACCAGCCAGGCTGCGGCCTGGGAGAGGGACAAGCCGCCCGCCCTGCTGTCCTGGGCACCTGCAGCTGCGGGTCGGGAGAAGCCACCCGCCCACGGTCCCCTGTGGCTGCAGCCGGCCCGGGCGAAGCTGGCCTGGGTCCTGGGTGCCTGCGACTAGCTGGTGGAGGGAATCCTGGGTCCCAGGTGCAGGGCAAGGCAGAGGCGGTTAGGGGGGATCAGGCAGGCAGAGGTGGTTAGAGGCGATCAGGCAGGCAGGCAGAGGGGTTAAAGGCAATCAGGCAGGCAGGCAGGCAGAGGGGTTAGGGGTGATCAGGCAGGCAGGCAGTTAGGAGCCAGCGGTCCCGGATTTCGAGAGGCAGTCCGACATACCCCGAGGGGTCCCGGCCAGGCTGGGGGGACTTCCCCTTCCTCCTGGTGCACAAAATTCATGCACTGGGCCTCTAGTAGGAATATAAGTTGCTGAGGAGGCAATAATGAAATAACTAGCTATTAAATAAGAGTAAATATTTGAGTGTATGAACTGCTGTCTCTAGAACGGATGGATGACAGTTCCAGTGAGGCTGGAAATGCTGTTGGGCAATCTTTTTGTGTGTTTGCACCATTCCCCAAGTGTAGGACATTTGAGATTGGGAGAGGCATCTTTCTTACCTCATCTTTCTTCCTTCACTTCCCAGGCCAGGGATGGGGCAGCACCTCCTAATCAACAGGAGCTTTCTTAACATTCACTTCTTTATCAGGAAATATGTCAGTCTCTGCACCCATCCTCACTTCCTGCTCTCTCTACTCAGGAGATGTGACACATCTATCTGCTACTGCTACCTCCTTCTGCATCTTTTAGATTGTGCCCCCTTTTCTCTCTCTCAGAATATAAACATAATCACATCTGCTCCACTGAATAAACTGCCTCTTCCATGACCTCTTCCTACAGCTACAACTCTGTCAGGTTCCTTTCCTTCATAGGACAACTTCTTGAACGACTCATCTGCCCTTGTTATCTGCCTTATTTTCCTACCTCCTATGCACATTTTACTTTTTTGTGTACCCAACATCCAGCTCTACAGGATCTTAACATTTTTCCAGGTTTGAATTAGATCTTTCTTTAGAAATGAATAGATCAACAGATAAAATAAAAAATAATGTTAAAACTAACATTGGGGAGGGTGCAGAGAAACTGGACCTCTCAGACCTTGCTGATGGGAATGTAAATGGTAAGGCCACTCTGGACAATAATTTGGTAGTTTCTTATAAAACTAAATGTCCACTAATTGTACAACCCAGCAGTCACATACAGGCAGCTATTCCAGAGAAATGAATAAAAACCTATGTATGAGTATTCATGGAAACTTTACTCATAATAGTAAAAAACTGGGAATAACCCAAATGTTCTACAATGGGAGAATGGTTAAACAAACGTATCCAATGGAATACGAGGCAGCAAGGAAAATGAATGAGTTATTGATACATATAACAACTATTTTCTATTGTAAGTACTAATTCTGTATGAATTATGTATGTTACAGATATAATCTTCCAGTCTATATCTTGACTTAAACTATGTTTATGGGACTTTTTGTAATGGAGAAATGTTTTATTTATATATCACCTAATTTATAAATTTTTTTTATGATTTGTGCCTTTTATTATATCTTAAATAATATTTTCCTGACCCAAAATAAAAACAGTATTTTCTTTTTGAAGTTTTCCTTTTTTTTTTTTTTTACATTTAGGTCTTTAATTTTCCTAACATTGATTTTTATGTATATACTCTAGAGTGCAGATAGAATTATATTCTTTTCTATTTATTTACTATTCAACATATTCTCCATTGGTTTGAATACCTATTAAGTTTAGGTAAAGTTAGTTATCTTCATGGATTTAGTCTATTTTATGATTTATTTAACTGTGCCTAAACATATTCTCCATAACAAATGAAACTGTGCCACATTTCATGTCAAGAGACCTACCTACAATTATTTCACACAAAATATTGAAATATAAAGAGAAGAAAAAATATATACCATGAAAACACTAAACAAATGAGAGTTGTTATAATATTCATAGTATCAAAATTAGAACTTAAGACAAAAAGCAAGAAGGTAACATGAGTAATTTACCATTAACATAAGACAATCACAAAGTTGAATATACTTAACAACATAACCTTGAAAAGTATAGATTGAAAACAGCCTGAATCACAAAGAGAAATAGTCAAATCTACAAACACAGTATGATACACTTATGTCTCAGCTAATAGATTGAGCACTCAGAAAAATTAGTGAAGATATACATGTTTGGAATAAAAATGTCAACAATCTAAATCAAATAGGTTCAGAATTCCATTCTGAAGAAATAGAGAATACAAATTATTTTATTTATTTTTAAAAATATATTTGTGTTGATTTCAGAGAGGAAGGAAGAGGGAGAGAGCGATAGTAGCATCAATGATGAGCGAGAACCATTGATCGGCCACCTCCTGCCTCCCACAACCTAGGCATGTGCCCTGACCGGGAATTGAACTGCAGCCTCCTGGCTCATAGGTCGATGCCCAATCACTAAGCCACACTGGCTGGGCGAGAATACAAACTATTTTTTAAGAAAATATAGCCCTAACCGGTTTGGCTCAGTGGATAGAGCATCGGCCTACGGACTGAAGGGTCCCAGATTTGATTCCGGTCAAGGGCATGTACCTTGGTTGCGGGCACATTCCCAGTAGGAGATGTGCAGGAGGCAGCTGATGGCTGTTTCTCTCTCATCGATGTTCCTATCTCTCTATCCCTTTCCCTTCCTTTCTGTAAAAAATCAATAAAAATATATTTTTTAAAAAAGAAAGAAAATATAGAACACTAAAAAAAACTAAGTCATTTACTGGGTCACAAATAAAATTTCAACAAATTTCAAAGAATTAATATCAGAAACCATATTTCTAGTCATAATGCAAATAAATTAAGAAAAAGATATGAAGATAGCCACCTCCCTACCTTATATTCAGAAACTAAACATCGCCCTAACTGGTTTGGCTCAGTGGATAGACCTTCGGCCTGTGGACTGAAAGGTCCCAGGTTCGATTCCGGTCAAGGGCAAGTACCTTGGTTGCGGGCACATCCCCAGTGGGGGGGTGTGCAGGAGGCAGCTGATCGATGTTTCTTTCTCATCGATGTTTCTAACTCTTTATCCCTCTCCCTTCCTCTCTGTAAAAAAAAAAAAAAAAAAAAAAAAAAAAAAATCAATAAAATATATTTTTAAAAAAGAAACTAAACATAATTCCTAAGTAATTCATGAATTAAAGAGAAAATGACTGTGTAAATTACAAAACATGTGAAACTGAATAAAAATGAAGTTTCCATATACAAAAATTTGAAGAATATAGGCTAAAGCTGTACCCTGAAGGAAATTTATAGCCGTAACTATTTCTATCCCATATAAGGAAGATTGATAGATTGGTGAATTGTTCTGAATCATGAAATTAGAAAAAAAAGAAATAAGGGGCTATAATAAGGTATTGCACCTATGCTTACATAAGAGGCTGTTCCCATTGGGCGCTATCACAGTTACTCCTTACCAGATTCCATCCCACTCAGCTAGAGGCTGCTGCATGCTCCCACAGGCCTGCCCCAATTTTCTGCTTAACACAGGGCTGCTTGCCTAAAAATCTACAATTTCAATAGGCATACTGTCTCTGTTGGTTATTACCACTGATAGGAGTATCTTTTCATATTCATAAATATAATTGTATAAAATAAAAAAGAAATAAATCCTGAAATAAATCAAAGGAACACATATCAAAGATATCACAGGAACAAATAAAATAGAATGGAGATTCATTTTTCTGATAATATGGCAGAACCAAGTATTCACACCAACCCTTACACTGAGAACCACTAAAAATTCTGAACAAAAAAAAATCTTTAATGTTTTTAAAAAATAGATTTTTAAATAATTGAAGATCTAGCAAAAGAAGGAATTTTTATGTATTTATGTATTTTTAGAAGATGAAAATCTAAGTGCAGGCAGGAATTTAAATAAATAAATGAGGCACTCGGAGACACTTTTGCCCTGAGGCCATTTGCTCTGCCTTGAACATCTTGTCTTTTATCCTTCTGGAGAATTCCTATTTTTTTCTTTAAACCCCAGATCAATTGTAACCTTCCTTAAATGGATAGCCTGACCAGTTTCTTGTGGTACATATCTGTTTAGAAATGTCTGTCATATAATAGGCGCGCAACAAGCAGCTGTTGAACGTATAAATAAAGGAGTGTTATCCTAGTAAACTGGGGAGGGTCATTGTGTCCCAGGGACAATATTTAGAAAGAAGGATGTGGCTTCCTGTTGGTACAAGCTCCCCTGCTCTTGTGTTTCCTTACCATGCCAGCAGGGCCTCATCACGTAGAGTAGTTACATTCAGGTAACTTCCACTTGAGTGCCCAACTAAAGAGTTGCAGGGCAGGGTAGAGGGCTGAGCACAGAACCAGACTTCACCCGAATCCGTATTTCTGTACTGGCAGGTAGGCCCTCTTGTTCCAATGGACAGAGCGTCAACATTGCAAATCACAGTCTCTTCAATGCCCGTGGGTCCCCGGAAATACCCTCTAAAATCAACAGTGGCTCTTTTCTCTCTCCAGATTCTTCGCAGAACCCCAACTGCCTCGCTGGAATGGATCAGCCGCACTTGCACCTGGGCCTGCCCAGCCCAAAGAAGGGGGAAGGACAGCAGGTATGTGCCGTTCTCCAGATCCTGGACATCCCCAGGGACCCCTGCCTTCAAGTCAGGACCCAGCAGCTGGGCCCGAAACAGATCCCCACCATGGGTCTTGGGCCTGCCCCTATGGTCTCTGGCCACAAGGATGGCCTCCAGGTAGCCTCCCAGGGCATAGCTGGCCTGCGCAGGACCCCTCAGGTGGTAGGTGGAGTTCTGGGGGCTGGTGGAGGCCAATAGGTCCTTTTCTTCTCCTGGGCTTGAAGGCCAGTACAAAAGATGGGTCAGGTTGCCAAACTCCTGGGAGACAGACTCCAAGAGGGAGGGCGTGGGGACAGGTTTAGAGGCACAGCAAGGTGCTGGGGGCCGAGGGATGGTGTTGTCAGGCCAGGGCATCTTGAAGTAGAAGATCTGTGGGTGGAGAAAGGAGAATCTATCAATGGTTTATGTTTTCTTCACTTTCCTTCAGGAAGGAGATTTCCACTCACCAAAACCAGTCCCCTCTGCCAGGAGTCCTATCCTGCCTGCACCAAGCTGTCTGTCACTCACTAGCCTCGCCAGTGTCTGAGTCATTATCCAGTTAGTTAAAAGGAGCACCTCCTGTGAAGATGAAGTTTTATCCCTGGATCTCAACTATATCCTTATCTCGGCCTTATAACCTCCACTACCACCCTCACCCCCACGCAACATGCACAGAGATATGTGCAGGCCTACATCTAATTGTCGTATCTCTTACCTCCCAGAACCTGGCATTCTGATGAAGTGTCCTCTTTTTTCTTCCTATTCCCTCTCTCTACCATCTCACCCCCACCATCTCCAAACTAGATTTCCAACAGAGAATTGGAGGTGGGCAAGTCCATTACTCAGTGCTGTTGAGGGTTAAAAAAGCAGGAGGTTAGACCGTTTCTTAGGGAGCTCCTGCTCTAATTGGGCTCAGTGGACAAAAGAAGCAATTCGACCACAGAAACTATTGGAAAAGTAAGAGGCTGTAGAAAGGCAGAGACAGAGGTGATGGCTGGAAAAAGAACCGATATATGGCAGGTTCTTTTCTAGGAAGACATGGTGTTTGCTATGACAAGAGTCTCCTCCAGCGGCCCAGCGCTCTCTGGTATCATATTCCATGAAACACAAAGTCACAAATACAGACCAGGAAGAGCAGTAGAGGGAGGCCTTGTGTTGTGTGGTGGATACGAGAGTGGGCCTATGTGCCTGATCTATCAGATACTTACCTACACCCACAATAGTCCCTTCTATTCAAGCAAGTGTGATTCAGAAAAGAAGCAACCCAGTGACACAAATTCCATGGGAGCACATGGAGGGTGTGTCTGAGGCTGAAATCTCTGTTTTGATTGCTGGAGGAGAAAACACTCACAGGACTGGCTTCTCTCCAGGCTGGAGAGAAGCAGGGTTCAACATCATAGAATCTGGGCTCAGATGCCGTATTATGTGGTTTCTTGGGATGCTTAGCCCACACAGGCCAATGGTGTCTTGGAGGAAAGTATACCTGGCAAGGTGTCTGGTCCTGATGGGGCCTGTTTACAGACCCTCATCCTGGGCTGGGAGAATATCAGGGGAGCACTAAATTGGCAGATCACAAGTCAGAATGGCTTCTTGTCCATCTTAACAACGGGCAGAAACGTGCCAGTGAACATGTCTTATATTCTCAGAGGCAGAGACTGTTTTGCCTCCTGCTGCTTGCAGCTTTGCCACCACACAAAGGGTCCTGAAAATTTGAACTGACCAGCAAGAGTGGCCAAGGGTTCTGTTATGGCAAATTTGAACAGAGTTGAGAAAGACCAAAAGTATCAGTTCAACATGAAAAGAATTATTAGTTGGGGGAGGTTACATGAAAAGAATGATTAGTTGCTTGTTTTGTTATTCCTATGTCATATGCACATTATATATGTTCTTTGGCATGTGAAAAATATTTTATAATAAAAACAAAAATTGTAAAAAATTCTCTGCTTAATTTCTCTTGAACCAAAAAGGAACTATAAAAATAAAAATACAACCTGTCTAGGTAGAAATAAAAGAGAAATCTTCAGAAGTAACATCTTTAAGGTGGCGACTAGGAAACCCTGAATCCTCTTTCCCCCATGAATTCACAGATTCAGCAACAATTCAGTCACTGAAAGGCTTTTATACCAGGTGAACAGGAAAACAGACTCACCAAAAGTGGTAAGGAGATTCAGGACACCCCTGGTATACTGTAATATGGTCAGGAAGAGAACCCCAGCTCCCAGCTTCTATCAGCTCTAGTGTCCCAACTTTTCTGTAAGGGTCTTCAGTGAACTGGTTTCTGGCCTGCCAGTTTGCAATGCTGATGAGACCAGCACAATCTAGCTGCCTGGGAGAGAACAAGGACTACTAGCTTAAGCTGGTAGTCACCATAGCTCCTTCCCCCTGGCTCAGCATGGCTCTCTATGCTGGTGAAAGAAGCCAGTCACAGAAAGACAACTATTACATGATTCCTTTTATATGAAGAATCTAAAATTGTAAAATTTATGGAACTGAAGAATGGTGTTTGCCAGATGGCAGGGAGAGGAATAAATGGGGAGTTATTGATAGATCCTCCCTTCGCCCCAACTGGTGGGCGGAGTATGACGTAACCTGCAGCCCAGAAATATTTGAGCGACTAACCATGTACCTTATATGCACTATACATTGGACCACCAATCCACACCTGCCAAATACCCTAAGCCCTTGTTCCTATAAGGACCATACATTAGGCCACCAACCATCCTGCGCTGAGTACACTAAGCCCCCATTCCTTCCCATTCCGCCCCTCAAAAGGCATGCTAACCTCTGCACGTGCTGCTGTCCTCCAATTGGGAGATAGCCCAGCAGGTCTCTTTCCCCTAATAAGGCCTGTAATCCTGGTTTTCGGCTCCCAACTGTTCTCACAGTTATTAGTTAACAAGCGTAACGTTTTAGTTAAGCAAGATAAACTCTACAGGTCTGTTGTACCATTGTATCTAAAATACTGTATTGTATACTTTAAAAATTGTTAAGCAGGCAGATCTCACGTTAAGAGATAATAAATCTTATACTAATAAAGTAAAATTAAAAATATTTCTTTTTCTCAAAAGACACTATTAGAATGGAAAGCAGGCATGACACAGAGCTGGAGAAGATATTTGTACCATGCACAACAAATGAAGGAGCTTGTATCCAGAATCTCTAAAGAATTCCTATCCTATCTAATAATAGACAAACACGGTAATTGACCATACCTTCACTACGCCTCCCATCAACCACCAACAAAGATGGCGGCTAATTTGCATACTGCAGGCAGGGCAGGACAGTGCAGCCGCCAGCACGAGCTGCCATCCTATGCCACAGGCTGGCCCCAGAAGCCGCCCGAAGCCATTGATTGGGAGGAGATGGGGGTCTCCTTCCCAGGCCTGACACCTCTGGCGGAGGCGTCAGGCCTAGGCAAGGGGCCAATCTGGTGATCGGAGGGCCATGGGGGTTGATGCCTCTGGCCAAGGTGTCAGGCTTGGGTGAGGGCGGAGCTGGTGATCGGGGGGAGATGGGGGTCTCCTGCCCAGGCCTGAAGCCTGGGCCAGAGGCGTCAGGCCTGGGGTGGGGGTGGGGGAACAAGCTGGCGATTGGTGTGAACTACAGAGGAAACACCTTTTCTGACCGCTCATTGGTTAAGCTCCCTGTATGCCACTGGTAATATTCTTAGTAACTTGGGTAATAAGAATCCAAAGAGGTGATCTAGGGTTTTTCACCACACTCCTGGCGAAAAAAACGAAGGTCCGTTGCTGGAGGGCTAAGAAATGTCATATCCTGCCCTAGCCGGTTTGGCTCAGTGGATAATGCCTTGGCCTGCTGATGGCAGGGTCTGAGTTCAATTCTGACCAAGGGCATGTACCTAGGTTACAGGCTCCTCCCTGGCCGGGGCCCAGGTTAGGGCTCATGCAGGAGGCAACCAATCAAAGTGTTCCTCTCACTTTGATGTTTCTCTCTATCTTTCCCTTTCTCTTCCACATTCTCTAAAAATCAATGGAAACATATCCTCAGGTGAGGATAAAAAAAAAATAAAGAAATTATTATTATATGAAAGACACATCTTGAAAATGCCTAAAGAAAGTTGTCATTTTTTCATGGTGAAGGGACTGGAGTCCGTGTTGATGAAAAAACCTTGCTGGCTGCGGTGACTGGCAGTGGCTGCAGCAGTGGGGTGATGGGGCTGGTGCCTTCCCTGATCAGCCTGGTCACCTCCCACAAAGGGAGGCCAGACTGCAGCTTAGGCCCTATCCCCCAGGGGAGCAGGGAGCGGGCCTAAGCCGTCACTAGGACATCCCCTGAGGGCTCCCAGTATGTGAGAGGGGGCAGGCTGGGCTGAGGGACACCCCCCCAGTGCACGAATTTCGTGCACCGGGCCCCTAGTAGATTAATAAGAAAAGACAAACAACCTAATTGTTTCACAGAGGAAATTCAATGACCAATAAATATATGAATAGGTGCTTAGCTGAATTAGTAAGAAAAGGATTGCAAACTAAAACCACAATGAAATGCCTTTACATATTCAAAGAAAGGTTACAACTAAAAGACAATACCAGTGTTAGTGAGGATGTTAAGCAACTGAATCTCTCATTGTGCTGGTGAGAACATAAATTGGGAAAACCACTTTGCAACACTGTTTGTCTGTAGGTACTAAAGCAGCGGTTCTCAACCTGTGGGTCGTGACCCCTTTGGGGGTCGATTGACCCTTTCACGAGGTCGCCAAGACCATCGGAAAACACATATTTTCGATGGTCTTAGGAACCGAGACACAGCTATCCGTCTATCCGTCTCCAGGCGGGTCTGCCCACATGCAGATACGCCCACATACGAGTACCCGGCGTGATGACATCATTGCGCCAACCCCATCACATACACCCCATACAAATACAGGTGTATGTGACAGGGTTGGCGCCATAATGTACTTATGCGGACCAGTCACACATGTGTAGAGAGCAGCTACTGTGTAGAAAGCAGCTACTGTATAGAAAGCAGCTGCTGTGTTGAAAGCAGCTACTTTGTTAAAAGCAGCTACTGTGTTGAAAGCAGCAGTATTGGAGGTAAAACGACACTTCATGAATTATAATTACTGGGTAAATGTAAAATCATGTACTGTAAAATCATCAACTATTGCAAAAAAAAATATCTGTACCATGAGAACTTAATCTGGATGTTGATCGGGCTTTTTATATTCAGAGGTGGTTGATGTGAATACTGCCCCCTTGTGATAGTAACAGATATGTAAAAAAAAACACAGAATGGTAAGTCATAGGAAACTTTAATGAACTGTATTGACTGAATTATGCCATGTATCATCTTTTGTATTATTAAAGCTATTGTTATATATTATTTTCATTAGCAAACCATCCCATGGCAATGGATCATGTAGAGAAGAACGT